CATTTTAGATATGCACTTTTGAAATACTGTATTTATAAAAAGTACATTATTTTTGAGTTTATAAGTAAAGACTTCTTAAAATGTATTTTAATGTTTACATTAGTGATAATTTTGGTTTTAATTTGTCCCATTTTTTGAGATCTTCAAACTTTAAGGCACCACCGTACAGGAATAAAACTGATCTCTCCTTCCAACTCTCATTAGAAGTCTATCAGCAGCATTTTAGATCAAGTAAAGACTTCTTAAAATGTTTTTTAATGTTTACATTAGTGATCATTTTGGTTTTAACTAGTCCCATTTTTTGAGGTCTTCAAACTTTAAGGAACCATCGTACAGAAAGAATTATAATAATACACCCATACATCAAACTAACAAGCTATTAAAACAATTCCAAACTTGAATTATATTTGATCAATTGTTCAAAGTGTRTGTTTAAAATCAGTATGCTGTGCTGTCATCTAACTGCTGCAAATCTGAATAAGGTGTGTAAAAGTATTACATAATGGGTTGGTTATAATGGATTGCTGACACTATTTGGGTTAATAGTACATGTTCTTATAACAGTTTCTCCTCTCCAGTAACACATTCAGTGTGATTCACATTGCACGCCCTTTACTGGAACCTGAACATTTAAACATTTGAAGACATAAAGTTGTTGTAAAATTAAGAAACGTTATCATTTTGATTTTATTTAAGCAGCCTTTACATTTTCTGTTTATTTTGTGCAAAATGATTAAAATGCATTTAAGTGTTTGTTAAATGACACTTCACGTAATGTATCTTCTTTTGCCTTCTCACCATGTTTGGTATTTAACACTTTCAAATATTTTGTCATTTCATTTCTTGAAAGGCGCAAGCAGCCAGTCCAGCTACACTTCCAGATTATCACGGAAAATCACTTGGCTCCAAAACATTTGGCAAGACTCTGTACCAAATGTTGAGCTTGATCCACATCCGTTTGCACTACTTTTTCTTGTTCCTTTCAAATAGGTCTGATAAACAGTTTCCCTCCATGCATGGCTGATCTTCAGTTTCCGTAGTGCACACGGAAACTCGCAGCTCGTCACTGCAGGGCAGAGCAAGCCAGTGGGGGAAATAAGGGGGGAAAAAGCCTGCAGCAGGGCTTTGCCTCTATTTATTCCTGATATGTTCAGCAGTTTCATTCATATGCAAAAGAGTGTGTGACATCACAGGAATTGGTTTGAGCACCAAATACCTACTTTCCTCAGATAATAGGTGACAACACTGGATTCAGCCGCTTTAACTTGCAGGTGTCAGCATCTGTGCTTTGCAGGTCAGTGGTTGTGCTTAACCGCAAATAATCCAAGCTTCGATTACTGAACACAGAGCAGACATAAAGAGGAAAACATTTGTCTTTCCTATTTGTACATATACTGTTAAACCACTTGTACACGCCAAACACTTGGCAGGCTAATGCAGCACTAGATACAGCATTACTGCAACATTTACTACTTTGGTTTTATTTGGGATTTTTTTTCCTACAATTTAATAACATTTTATTTTGATTACATTAAAARCTATTTAAGCCAAAATTCAGGAAAACCAAAGCAATGGAAAATTTTCATCCAAAAGCATTTAATATTTTTTTTCTACAGCTACACTGCAAAACAAATAGTCTTAAACTACTCCATCTTGCGAATGACTCTCAACAAAGCCATTAGAAAACATAGTAAATATGTAATGTTGAATTTCACATCCTGTTGTTAAACCTTTTTTTTTATATTATTTTTTGTGTAGGACAATGTTGCACTAAAATCATCAAAGCGMTTAGAGGCTGCCATATGGAGCAGTGCAGAATTCACTTTTAAGAGAGCTTGCTTTCAATTTACTACTGTAAAAACTGTGAGCTTCTTTCACTGAACATTATGGATTAAAGGCTCCGAATAATTCAAGTKAGAAATCACTTGTTTTTTCTAAAGGTAAAAGCGTTGTGTGAGAAAATTGGCTTGTAAATGGATATATGTTGAGTACTAATGGAAAGCAGAAAAACCTGATCAAAATGTGACAATGTTACATTTTTTTCTGCCCCTAAAATGATTTCTGTTTTTATTTAAAAAAAACCTGTACCGTACCTTTCCATTACACACCTAAGTTGACAACAGAAACAAAAAAAGAGCCTTCCTGAAGTGCCCTGTGCTGTCATGAATTCACAGGGAGGGGTGTGCAAGGGGGGAGCCTGTCATTTTTCKTCTGGAGACGACATGTTAGCTGCTGGCCAGTGTTTTGATGTTGGGAAGTTTTTCTTTCTTCAGGGACTTTTGGGGGAAAACATGCGAAGCTTAGATGTCCAGAGTGYCAGACTCTAAATATTTCCCTGGTCATTTGGGAGGCTGCATTCATTATTTGCCATCAGTTACTTGGTTGCAAACATGGCGCACTTTGACTTTCACCGAGGGAGTCATTTTTACACATACACAGTTAAGAATCAGTGAGGATGATGCATAGCTTTTCTGCTGGAACACTTGGCACAGTGTACGAATTATTAACTCACAATTATTTTTATCGCTCACATGAGCATCAGCTCTTTTCTTTCTGTCTAATTTTCACTGGAGCTAATATTGACATGATTTCTTGAATAGATTTTATTTTTGAAGCCTCAAAACTAGATTCAGAATGGCAGGCATGAACAATTAACCCATCCTTTCTACGTGATTTTCTTGGTGAGTCAAGCAAATTTTTATGTWTATTTTTCTCTAAATAGGACTAAAACAGAAACATTTGAGACTGCAGCTCCACACTGCTGTTAGAGTTATATACTTTCCAGGAACATAGTTGAATTCTATACCACAATCCAACTGTTATCTTTAGTTGCCATGAAAAATGTTGTGTATATAATAATAATAATAATAATAATAATAATAATAATAATAATTGACTTTGCATATCTAAACATCTTAAAATTGCCTCTCTTTAAGAACCTCCTACCGTTTCAGACGCTCCCACTTC